AAGAGCTACTGTCAAGTCTGCAGCCCAGAGCCAAAGGCACTCAGGAAGAAAGGAGGTACAGACAACATACATCTTACTTTGGTAGTCTGTGCAAGGCACGGGTGTACTACATATGCATGTGGATCTTGCAGATGAGAAATCTTTATAAACTCAGATCACTGGCACCACTTTGTGAGACTTAATGGTGAATCGATTGATTCATCTGGTTACCTTTACTAATAGAATTTAACTCTTATCATGTATGAAACTGTGGAGGATTCCTGTTCTTTTGTGGACTCCGGTGGCATTTCACATATTTGCAGTTGCTTCTTTGGGTTGTGCATAACTGCATCTCACACCTGAAGACTTGTAGAAGCATACAGTATCCTGAGGTGAAAGAGACCCACATGGATCGTCTTAAGTCAAAATGCTGGCCCTGTGTAGGAACACCCCAAGAATCCCACTATGTGCTTGAGAGCATTGTCCAAACGCTTCTTGAACTCTGCCAGTCTTGGTGCTGTGACCACTTGCTTGGGGAGCTGTTTCAGTGCCCAAGTACCCTCTGGGTGAAAAATGCTTTCCTAATATCTAACCCAAACCTCCCCTGGCACAGCCTCATGCCATTTCCTCAGATCCTGTCACTGGTGACCAGAGAAAAGAGATCAGTGCCCGCCTCTCTCTTTCCCCTCCTGAGGAAGCTGTAGACTGAGGTCTCTCCTCAGTTCTCTAGAAGCATTTGTTTTTCCAGACATGTGAAGAAGTGAGATTCAAGCAGGCCAAGTCCTGGGTCCTGCCTTTGGTTTGCAGCATCCCTGTGCAGTGCAACAGACTTGGGGCACAGTGGCCAGAAAGCTGCTCATCAGAAAAGGACCTGGGGGTGCTGGTTGACAGCGACTGAACATGAGTCACCAGTTTGCCCAGCTGGCCGGGAAGGATAATGGCATCCTGGCACATATCAGAGATAGTGTGGCCTGCATGACTAGGGCAGTGGTTGTCCCCCTGTACTTGGCACTGGTGAGTCCACATCTTGAATTCTGTGTTCAGTTATGGGTCCCTCCAAGAAAGGCTGAGGTAGGTGTTAGTCTTTTCTCCCAATTAAAAAGAGTCAGGACAAGAGTAAATGGCCTCAGGTTGTGCCAGAGATTTGGGTAGGATATTAGGAAAAGTTTCTTCACCAAAAGGGTGGCCAGACATTGAAACAGGCTGCCTAGGGATTTGGTTGAGTCACCATCCCTGGAGCTATTTAAAAGATGTGTAGATGTGGGACGTAAGTCTGCCAGTACACCATGTCCCTGGCAGTGCTAGGTTTACAGTTGGACTTAGTGATCTGGAGGGTCTTTTCCAACCTAAATGTTTTATGACTCTATTAAACTGAGAAACGATTTTGTCTGCTCTAATGTTTTGTCTAGCTCTTTTTTTTCTTTTTTCCCCCTACCTGGCACTAGTATTGTGTGATATTTATAAAGAACCATTGATTCTTTTTGTGTTCTCTAAAGTTGCCATACTCTAGTCCTTTGAGGGATTGGGTTTTGTCTTTCCTGATTTTTCATACGATGTGCTGTTTCTATCTTTTGATATGTGAAGTTGGGTGTTTGAACTGCTTTGCTGTGTTCCCTGATGTGTACTCTCTGTAACTAGATGAATGTGTAGTACCTGCTGCTTCTACCTGTTGTAGCCCTCATTTCTCCCCATGCTTTTCCGTTTAGTAACACGTCTAACTGTAGTGGTTTGCACTCAAAGTAAGAGCAGTTTTCCTATGCTGTAAAATTTTCATGCAGCATGTGTACATACAATAGCATAACCAATGAATTGAAGCAAAACCTTTTATTGTATCTTCTGTTTCAGGCTGCAATATCCCCTGTGCTTTCAGCACCACATTTATCACAAGGGGTGCTTCCTGTTTTGGATCTTCATTCATTTGCTGAGTCAGGTAATACAGTGTGCTTTAAAGTCTCACTTAAGAAACAGGTCAAGTCAAGAAGTTCTTAAGTTCATTGATTTTGTCACTCTTACTGTAAGTGACCATTTGTGGCTTTGTGTCAAGTTCTTGAGGGTTGAATAGTGTTATATTCTGTGCAGATTATTATAATTCATGCTGTACAAATGGCATTTTCTCAAGTAAAATTCCATATGCTTGGGTTTGCCATTCCCTTTCTGAAGGTAAAGTAATAAAATGTCTGGTATGCTAGGTTTATTTTTTTTCATGGCCTGTGTTGCTGCAGATCTCTATTCAGAGCATCTGAAGTAGTGTACATGGCATTCTTTGCCTCAGTATGTACTTAGTCCTCTGATGATGGCTATAATTAATTTCTTCTGGTGAAGGATTTCTCTGCCACTTAGCTAGATTGATTTATTTATAGCTTTAAATTCAGTGTGAATGCAATATGTATAGAAATACGTATATTAATGTAGAAACCTGTATCTGTGCATCTTCATCTGTTTCTGGTATGAGTTCCTTTGAGTGTCCAAAGGTAAAGTGTCTCTCAGTTCTTAAAAATTAGCGTGAATGCTGGCAACAAGTAATTTGAGGAAGTAATAGCTAGATTTAGCTTGAATCAAGATTGGGTTTTTTTTAATCTATACTATACATAGAGCTATGCAATATTTTTAAATGATTCATGTTATTTTTCTTCACCCTTCAAACTCAGGGGTGCTTCTAAGCCTTAGAAAATACCTCTTCATGTAATTTGTTGAGTTTTGTCAGGTGAAGGATACTTTTTCCACAGTTACTTTACACTTCAGTGTTAAGGTTTTTTGGTGGAGCCTTACAAGAGAGTGTTTGTCTTGGTTATATTCCGTGATAATGTCAGGTGGATTAAAAGCTTGATAGGGAGACCTGTAGCGGGTAGCGATCCAAAGTAGTGTCCCTGATGCTGAGGCAAAAGCTTCTGTACATTCAGCAGCAGTCAGACCAGCAGAAGAGTTAAGCTGTTTGTACACACCAATGGCAAGATGAGCACCAGTCTGTGCTGTTTTTCATACAGCCAGCAGTGGGAGAATGCTGATGAGAACTAATTTATGATGGCATGATAGAGGGGGCTGTAGGTGTAGTGTAAAGTTGTGGAGGCAGGAGTGGAGATAATTATAGAAACATACTTTATTGGTTGCTAATTATCATATAAATACTTGTACATTGAACTTTCACAGATTTAGATATAAAAGTTCTAGGTCACAGTACTGTAAAATATTGGCTGTCTAAACTGTATGTGTAATGTTGTTGTGAATTAATCCTTAGAATCAGAAGAAGAATTTTATGATGCACTGAGCAGTCCTGTGGAAGATGTGCCATTTTTTGAAGCCCCATCTGGTGCCCTAAAGCGAGCTTGCAGTACAAGGCGAAAAAAACTACGTAAACAAGAATCTTTGAAAAATATGACAGAATTCCAGCTAAGGTTTGAAGTAGCTGAGGTAAACTTACTTATGTTTTAATTTCTCTGAGGCACATCTGGACTGTAATTTTCCCTGTTTGTTGTGTTCTTGTCTGCAGAAGTATTCATTCTCCCTTTTTTTCTGAAACTGTTCTACAGAGATTTTTGCCAAGTCACAGTTGTGCTTCTGCATCCTTGTCATCACTGAAATGCTTTGATTTATCCACTTTAGTTCCCAACTCATTTTATCACTGAATTTCCTTTACCTATCACTCAAAAATCACAGTCTGTATTTGTTTTAGCCTAAAATGTAGGTTTTAACATTTCTTTCCAGCTACTGCTGTGGCCACTAGAAAATTTCATTAATGTTTCATCTTGTAACAAACTGTAGTTTTGTGCTTCAGTTTTTTTCCTTTTGGCCTCACGCCTAAGTCTGTAGTATCTTCAGTGTGAAGAGTTTTCTCTGTTGAGTAGAGTATTTACTCAAATGCAAGACACTTTTGACTGTATCAGGTCTAGTAAAAGAGGTGGCAGCCTAACACTGTAGTTGCCTTTATCATTTGACCATCGTGTCTATGACAGTGTTATTGCTGCTGCTCACTGTATTTTACTTTACATTTGTTTTACAAATGAATCATGCAAATTTAGTTAACTTTACAAATTCTGTTTTCGAGAGTATTTACTCAAATGCAAGACACTTTTGACTGTATCAGGTCTAGTAAAAGAGGTGGCAGCCTAACACTGTAGTTGCCTTTATCATTTGACCATCGTGTCTATGACAGTGTTATTGCTGCTGCTCACTGTATTTTACTTTACATTTGTTTTACAAATGAATCATGCAAATTTAGTTAACTTTACAAATTCTGTTTTCGAGGAGGGCTGACAAAGCAGCTTTAGTGCATCACAGCTAGCATGCAGCATAGTCTATGCTATACTTCTGCTGCAAATAAAGTTGAAATGGTCTGTTATTTGTGTGATAACAAGACCTTGTTTGAGATGCTAGCCTAAAGATAGGTGCTGTATTTTACATTATTCTCTAATTGGCAACTGTCTTACAGTCACTAAGAAAGAAATACAATTGGGGACCTATTGGAAATCGCCTCACTGTTGGCTTCATAGTTAAAAAACCCTTCCTGGGTTTGGTTTTGATTTTCCTTTTTGTAGGCAGCCTCACAAGGAAAGGAAGAGTACATATCTTTGCTTTTTTTTGGTTGTGAAAGTCAGATACAGCAGCTCAGATAGGTATTTCTTTAACAACATTGTTGTTGTGCATGGGTGAAAAAGTAGTAAATCCCCTTGCCTGACATTCAGCTTGGTTATTTAACTCTTACCTACAGAGTTCAAAGACATTCCAGTCAAAGCAGTAAACACTTTATGGTGATTGAAAATCTAATTTTGACTGGGTTGAACATTACTGAATGCTGTACAGAACTGGTTTTAAAAATAATTTAGTTTATGTAGCTGTTACTTTGATATTACATGTGTGCATATTTGAGGTTTTTATTAAAATAGCAGCAAACAGTAGTGAGTCATTTTGCTTGTTGAACTGTTTATTTTTTCCAGGGCATTTGCTGTATAAAATTAAATGTTCAATCCACATACACACATTAACCAGTAAAATGTATGTAAATATTTTGTCCTATATAAGCACTAAGAGGATAATCCCCTACTGTTTTGGGGTGTGTGTTTTGTTTTTTAGGTCTTAATTAAATTATGCCGTCTTACTGGTAATACTGAGACACCTGTGCTGCAGCTGGATATTGTAGGCTTGGGCACTGAACTTAAATTAAGAACATTTGACATGACTGCAAATGCTTTCCTTCGTGAAGTTTGTCTGCTGTGTCCAGAGTACATGGGTAAGTATTTATAGTCTGGTGAAAAAATTACTTAAAAATAACACTGTGAATTTGTCTTCAAAAAGTCTGGAGGGCTTTTGTCAGCCAAGGAAGATTTGCTTCCTAATTAAAATGGTGAGGATGGGGAGGAACCTCAGGAGCTCATTCTCTTAGTAGTGCTCTAGTAAATGTATTCTGGTGCTGATGGTTTTAGAGAGACATCTGACTATTTTGGGTGTGCAGAAGAGTTTTTATGATTAAACAGTAATGACACCTAGAAGCCTGCTTTGTAGTCTATAGGTTAATAAAGTTGTGGTTTGTGTTTTCTTCTAAAAATAGTATTTTTTTCAATTCTTTTGTGTTTTTTAAAGATGACAATAACAAGCCAGTTTACATAATTACTACATTGGATAATGTAGAAGATGATCTTCTCACTCTGGAGTACATAAAGGTGAGAAAAGGGCAGACTTGGCTTTTGAATTGTTAAGCCTCTCTTAAACAGTACAGTAATATGCAGCAATTGTTGAAGGTTTTTCCTAATTTATGCCTTTAACATCTTGAATGTCACATACAAAGTCTGTCTGTCTGCTCTTTAATCAGAGTAACTTGTGCATCTTAAGCTGTAGTGATTCTGAAAATGAATTCTCTCTGGTGAAATTTGCGAACTTTTCCTTGATTTACTTGTTTGTTTTATGTGCACTTTTGGTGGAATAGGCTGATATTAATGGACCAGAACTGAAAACTGTTTATCAGAATGTTCTACAGAAAATAAAGGTACAATATCTTTTTTCATTTTTTGCATAATTTTCTCGGTGTGGGAAGAGAAGCATATTGGATAAACAAAAATTGTTCTTTTAGGTGAACTTTTCATCTCTAGATGTTCATTTGCATACTGAAGCTCTGCTGAATTCAATGAACTATCTTAATAATCTTCTACCCAAACAAGAAACTAAAGTTGCAGAAGAGCCAGTCCATGAAAAAACAGAGGAGAAGAAGGATGTTCTTAAGAAATTAAGTAAGTTTCTTTATTATTTTTTTTCCTCTTTTCACTCCTCTCTCTACACTTACTTAAGCAAGGAAGAAAACAAATGTGTTTGCCTTTTTTGTAATCTGTCAATGACTTTTGATATGGGAGATTTTGCTAAGGATATATTTATTTACCCATCTGCAGTTTTCTGACATACAGGTCAAGACATACCTTTGCTGCGTATTTGAGGCCCTGAGCAGATGTAAATGGAAAACCCATAAACTATTGTCATTTTTGTTTTGTTTTTTTCCCTGGTAGGAATTAATACTTTTGGTGGCCTTACAACTATTTTATTACCTCATATTGTGGAACATCAATCTCTTGCTTGCTGTGCAGTTCAAAGGGATGCTAAAATACTGCATCTCTTCCTTGAAGAACTGTAACTTTTATTATTTTGTATTTTCCATAGCATCAAAAAAATCAAAGTATGAAGATGTTATCGACCTCAATATCTGTGCGGATTTATCATGTTTGCGTATCTTTATGAGAGAGAAAAAACACAGAATAGCTGAAATTCACATTGAAGGTAGGAGCAAAACTTTTATCACAAAGACACAAAACATTTTAACCAGAACAGCCTATAGATTCTGTGTGTCCGTTTTTTGAGGTCTGGATAGCCAAGTGACCATGAAGAAAGCAGCAAATGAAGTGACTGCAAAATTGAAGAATATCATCATTGTGGATTCTGATGAGGCAGCATTATATAAAAAGGTATCCATTTGCATTTATCATTGATTTTTTTTGAATGGAATTTAGATGTTAAATTTTATATACTTTGTGGACTCTCCACTGTGATGTTTTTTTTTCAATAATGTTTTATGTGTTTGTTGGAAGCAGTGTTCTCTATAGACAGATTTTGCTCCCACAACCAGTAACTGTTTGGCTGACACTAATTGGTGCAACTGTGATGCCCAGCTGCTCATTGCGCCTCTTATTCTGTTGACTTTAATGAACAGAATTATTCAAGCTGAGATTCCAACTGAATATTTTCAGCTATTTTGATGGATTTTTTTTATTTAATTTTTTTTTATTTATTTTTGAGATATACTTCGAAGACATTTTTACTTCCAATGAGGTACTACATTTTTCTTTAGAATAAAGTTTATGCAGCATGCAACTTTTTACAGTAGAGATATTCTTTTTCTTTTCTCCTTAAGGCTCTTTACATCACAGGAAAAGAAGTCTTCAACTTCAGAATGGTATCTTACGTGAATGCTACAGATGGTGTTGCATACACAAACATGGAAGTTGTTGACAATCGTATTTACTTAACTGTTGGGTGTATTCAAGTAGTTTTTGTCAACAAGTTTGTTTCATCTGTTTTGGTAAGTTAAATTTTCCAGATACTGTTTCTTAGCATTCAGATAACATGGTTAGAGCAAGAAAGGATAAAGCATTCCACCCAGAGTGGTGCCTGTTTGAGCAAGGGCTCATCCATGCTATTGTAAAAACATCACTGGGGTTGGTGGTTGGGCTCTTTACTCTTGTTCTAGGTATGTTTCTTATTGTGGAGCAGATCACTATGCAGTAATGTTTGCTGTTATTCATAGTAATGTTATTCTTCGGATGACTTATCGGCATCTTTTAAATATGCATTCCATCCATTATTTATAACTGAAATATAAGTAAGAAACTATGGAAGTTAATGCCTTTTCCATAAATTCTGCTAAGTAAATCAATCATTTACTCTCCATGTGAGTAAATAAAAGGTAATTCATACAAGTGATGTTAAAAGGACTTTGCTCTTACCATCTGATTTTGCAAATATAAAATACAGGAATTTATTTATATATGCACACACTTTATCACATTTGAGGGAAGATGTATTAAAGAGTTTGGAGAAAGTGTGTAACAAAAACAGTATCTTAGGACAGTTTGCTGTTTAAATAACTATGACTCTTAGTGGTTTTGAAGTGGTTTTTAATAACTAGTTCCCAAGATCTATATTCTTTTCCTAGGCTTTCATCAATAACTTCCAAGCTGCCAAGGAAGCTCTTACTGAGGCGACCGTTCAAGCAGCAGAGAAAGCAGCTACAGGTGTGAAGGAGCTAGCGGAACGCAGTTCCCGTTTGGCACTAGATATCAATATTAAAGCTCCTGTTGTGATAGTTCCACAGTCAGCAATGTCTGCGAACGTCCTGGTGGCTGATCTTGGTCTAATCACTGTGAAGAACAAATTCTTTATTGCTAAAACAAAAACACGGTATAATCTCCCACCTGTCGTTGACTCTATGACGGTGAAATTGAGCGAACTAAAGTTGTACAGGTAATGTAGTGTCAAGATTTTTAAAATTGATTAAATCCTTTTGGGATTCTTCAGTTGGAGAGCTTTGAGGAGTGGTTAATTAATTAGTTAATGGTTGGTGGTTGATGGATACACCATTATCTTGAAATACATCAGCAAACGCATATTTTTGAAAAGCTGTCCAAGTGTATGGGTTGGGAGAAATAGCAATCTACACATTCTTAAATAGTAGCAAATGTTTGTTTAGGGAAAGTTGTGCTGTAGCATAGACTTACGCATCATTCATTATTTTGGGGCAGCTTATACCCAGTTGTAAATGGCTACTTTGGGATTTTCAAAATATGCATATCAGGAAAGATGCTGACTCAGCTGTAAAGAACTGCTTGAAAATGGTCCTTGGTTCAGGGAAGTGGTAGGAGGAGAGGGAAAAGAAAGGGCTTTTCAAACACAGTTGAAGAGTACTGAAGAAAGAAGGAATTGCTCTCCACTGGAGAGCAGGTAAGAAGTCCGAACTTGCAAACATTTGTGTGTTGTATGCCTGGTATGTGCCTGGTGTCTCCTTCATGCCAAGGAAAGATATGTAGCTGATGGACTAAGGCTTTAACTTGAGCTACTAGGAGTAGTATGAAGACATTTTTATAGTACAGTTTAGAAACGATGAGGGAAAGGCAGAAGTGTGTTTGTTAGAATGTGTAAGCGAAGTACATAAAGCTGGGAGTATTTTGTTTCTGTTCACAGGTCATGCTATGAACAGGGCTCATTGCAAACTGAAATACAGTTGCTGCAGCCAGTCAATCTGGAAGTAGCTGTGGAACGAAATTTAGCTGCTGCATGGTATAGTGAAGTTCCTGATATTGAAATATCTGGCAGGCTCAAGCCTATGAATGTAAGCCCCTGTTTGTGAAAGGAACTGTTAAAATACTTGTGGAAAATGGATTCTGTTTTCTGTCTCCCTGTCTCCAAAAGTCCGTGTTCATTAGTTAGGGTATTGTTTGATTTAAAGACATACAGGTGGGGTGAATTTTGATGTGTCACAGAGGAAAAGGAATTGAATAACTTTCTGTTCTAATCTAAGCTCTCTATATCCTCTGTGATACTACAGGCAGACTATACAATTAATTACTGTTACTAGTTAGAAATGATTGTACTTTTAAAGCCTTCCATTTCCCTGTCAGTATCTTTCAAAGAAGGATTGGGAAAATTTGGGGTTTATTGATCTATTCAGTAGCAGCATGCTTACCTGCTGGATTCATACCCATGGCAAGTCTGACTACACGTTAGTGCACATTCTTATTTAAATTTAACATAAAAAAGTAGAAAGCTTGTCAGAAAGGAAACCAGTTAGCCACGTTTTGTAATGGAACTTGTAACTCTGACTGCAGAGTACCTTGTGACTAAATGCAGGTAACAGTTTTGGGCAACTGTAGGTCAAACTTCATATGAATGTCTTTTAATATTCCAGCTTCTAAATTGTAACTTCATAAAGAAAGTTTATGGATGAAAACAAAGTTATGTGCTACTGACTTACTGTAAGGGGTTGCGTTGGGAATTTGAGAAACATTTTACTTGGTCTTTAGTCTCCTCAGCAAAGAGTCAGATAAGATTAATTTGTTAATTTGTAAGCTTAGATTTTAGTTACTGAAACTTTCATGACCTGAGTTGTTCTGATTTTAATTACAATTTTTTTTAAAGCTTATTCTCAGTCAGGAGGATATTACCACAATACTGAGGACACTAAATGAAAATACAGGTGGACACTCTGGTGCATCACCATCTTTACCAGAACCGAAAGATTCGACTAGTCATTGTAGTGATATGCATAGCACTTCACAGCACTCTGCAGGTAATACTGTCCGAAATTATATGTACCATTTTTGGGTATTATTGTTAATTTATTTCTGTTTGAATTGCATTTATAAAAGGGTGCCAAATTCAGTTGTGTTGAACTGTATCATAAAATCATGAAGGTTGGAAAAGGCCTCCAAGATCATAGAGTTCAACCTTTCACTGAACACCACCATGTCAACTAGACCATAGCATTAAGTGCCATGTCTGTCTATTTTTTGAACACTTCGAGGGACGGTGATTACACCACCTCCCTGGACAGTCCATTCTAATGCCTGACTACACTTTCAGTGAAGATTTCTTCCTGACATCAAACCTGAACCTCCCCTGGTACAGCTTGATGATGTGTCGTCTTATCCTATTGCTAATTGCCTGGAAGAAGAAACTGATCCCCATTGTGCTACACATTCCTTTCAAGTAGTTGGAGAGAGTGATAAAGTCACTCCTGAGTCTCCTTTTCTCCAGGCTAAACAAATCCAGCTCTGTCACCTGGTCCTCAGAGGACTTGTGCTCCAGACCTGTCACCAGCTTTGTTGCCCTTTGCTGGACTTGCTTCAGCACCTCAATATCTTCCTTGGAGTGAGGGGCCCAGAGCTGAAAACAGCTGAGGGAACTCCATCTAAGTTGCCACACTCCTAGCAGTGGCTTTCAACTGTATGGAGACCATTGTTATAGTTGAGTAGGTAAAAACCACTAGGTAAGCTCACCTCAAGAGCTAGGAGGGTAGCTTTGTCCTCCTACATGTCATGCAGTTGTGGTTTAACCCTAGCCAGCAACCAAACATCGCACAACCACTTGTTCACCCCCCCACCAGAGGGATTGAGGAGAGAATCAGAAGGGTAAAAGCTAGAAAACTTGCGTGTTCAGATAAAGACGATGTAAAAGGGAAAACAAAAGTCATACACCCAAGCAAAGCAAAACAAGAAGTTAATTAATTCACTGCTTCCCCTGGACCCGAGGTGTTCAGCCATCTCCAGGAGAGCAGGGACCATCACGTGTAACAGTGACTTTGGAAGGCAAATGTCTTCACTCTGAACATCTTCCTCTTCCTTCTTCTTCCCCCCACTTTACATATTGAGCATGTCCTATGGTATGGAATATCCCTTTGGTCAGTTTGGGTCACCTGTCCCAGCCGTGTCTCCTCCCAACATCCCATGCACCCCTAACTTTTCTGCCAGTGTGGCAGTACCAAAAACAGAAAAGGCCTTGGCTCTGTGTAAGTACTGCTCAGCAATAACAGCCTTGCTGGATCTCTCTGCTCTGTCTTGGGCTTCCCTGACTCTGGGAATCCCCTGACAGGCTCCTTGGGGTGTTTTGCCCTGTAACTTAAGTGTGGCTGCCACCGCTGTTGCTGCTCTTGCCTTGTGCCTCACTGACTGACGAGGCTGGTTGATTGCTGATGTGTCTGTTATCTTGGCGTTGTGGTTTGACCTACATCCAACAGTAATGGCAATGAATAGGACTGACCATCATGGCCCATTCGTTGCCATACCATGGCAATAAATGGGCCATTGTAGTGAGTTTTGGAGCTTGACATGTTTTAATGCAAGGATTGTCTTATTCTCCTGGATGTAATGTGGGGCAGCACTTATAAGTTTGTCAGCTGAATTTGGTAAAGTCTCAACTTTGGAAAGGTGCCATGTGACTCATGCTGGTTGCATATCTGCTCAGATTTAGATCTGTTTGTCTTGTCATAATGATGGCATCCCTAAAAGTTGTTCCTATTCAGTAGGTGTTATTACCCATAGACTGTTCAGCACACATTAAAAATAAAGGCTAGTAAAGTTATAAAAAGGCTTATTTTGTTGGGTTCTTCTGTAAATGTGAAAAGCAGCAAAACATGGCAAATGAACAAATGAGGATGAAAGTGAATTTGTATTCTTTGCAACATTCTTACACACATTACCGTATAACATGAAGGAAGGTTGTTCATTTTTGTCTGAAAGATGGTAAAAATCACTGTAGAATGTGTAAGTGAAGTGTTTTATATTCTCAGACATTGTGTGATTTTTGCCAAAAGTGCTGATAGAAAGCATGATAAGCATCCTAAGTGTGGATGGATTTACATATGTGTCTTTATGGCCATAAATGAGGACAGTTTGGTTTGGTTTTTTTTCCTTATTTTCCGTCAGGTAATTTTCTTTAACCATTTTTCTGATTTCTGGAAGGTGTAACTGTTGTGACATCAGCAGTGGTGGAAATGCATTCACCTATGAAAATCAAAACAACCCTAAAACTGGACTTCAGATTTGACTCTCTGACTTTAGTGCTGTATAGTCCAAATTCAAAACAGGTAAGTATAATTTCTGTTTCAAAGAGAGACACATATTTAAGGTTGCCTAGAGTCCTGGAAATTCTGAACAAGAATAGTTTAATTTATTAGCAGAGAAAGTGTTTGCTAGCATTAGTAGCAAATAGGATGGTAATGATAAACAGCTATTTTAGCTGAATCACTTGGCAGATACTACAGGAAAGAGAATAACCAGTGGTAGCACATAATACTTGGCATCCTCTGATACGACTAAAAAGTTAATGAAAATTTATCTTAGTTTAAAATACAGTCCAGGAAGGAGAAAATGCAAGGAATGCAAACCATTCTTTAGTTACACATTCGCATGTGAGCACAGACACACACAGATAAATAAAATTGGGGAGGAGATTTTAAATTCATACTTATGGTAGGAATACATTTATATTCATCTTGGTTTAAACTAAGAAAAGTTGTCAGCGAATTTCTATTTAAAAATTTGGTAAAATTTTATTGCAAACTTGTGGTGTATTATTTTAGGTTTAATCAATTTTCCTGTGTCTGGCTGAACACTGCGTAGTCATAAGAGACAAAATTTAATGTCTTACTTGGCATCTTTGCTTGTACTGTGTGTGTTTACATACAAACAAACTTTCTGGTAAACCTTGTGTCTCACTAATGTAAACTTGCTTTAGCGAGCTGGAAGGGTAAAGCTTTGCTTTATTTGAGCATTTTCCTCTATGTTATTGATTACTATGGCCTTTTGAATGAGCAATGGCTCTATTTTATATATTATTATGGGAAATCATATCAGAATAAAACTGTGTAACACATCTGTATATTATTTTCACTACCTGCAACCAAATCTGCAAACATTTGATTTAAACAGGTTAACAGTTTGGATCAGAGAGATGACCTTTTGAAGCTTGCAGAGTTTAAATTGGTTCTGATGTCAGCTGCTGTGAAAATGTTATCAGATGGCTCAATGAATGCTTCAGTCAAGCTGGCAAACTGTACATTGGATGATAAAAGACAGTCAGTCCAGAAGGCCACACCAAGGTCTGTAATTCAACATAAATTGCTGTTTATTGGAGTTTGACAGAGAGTTCCAAATGTTTCCATTTTATTAGTATTCTGTTAAAGCTGCAATTGTTTTAGTGTAGGGGGTTCTGAAAGGATAAGTTACTGTAGACTTAAAGTGTCTTGCTCCATATAAAGACAAAGTGTCTTTTGTTCCATATATTCTTTGTGAGTGACCAATATAGATGTTAGAAACAAAATTTGAAATAACTTTGTGAAATTAATAAATACACATAGAAAAAATTTCACTTTCACCTTTAATGAACTGCTCAGCAAGACTAAGGTTATTTTTCATGAATAGTAACAAACTTCGGTATAGTACTTTAGATATGTAAATGAGGAATTACACTGGTTTGACTTGTTAAAATTATTTAGTTATCAGTGTATGGGAGTCCAGTTAGTTTTAAAGTTATATGACATTTATGTTCATGTTTTAAAATTGTTGATGTTACTTTTAAAATTAACTCCTGTTAATGTATTGCAGCTGGAAAGAGAATCTTGAGTGTTTTTCAGCGTTTGTGGCTGGTTTTTTATTGTCACCTTAATTGTCTTTCAGAATGGTGGAAATGAAACATGGATTTGAAAAGAAAGTTATGGTGGATATAAGCTACAAACAGGGTAGAGATGGCACTATACTTGATGTGATCGTTCAAGAGATATATCTTTGTGCAAGCATGGAGTTTCTAACTACTGTTGCAGATATTTTCCTAAAGGCTAATGCAGAAAGTGCTGCTGCACAGAGAAATCTCAGGCAGTCATTGCCTTTAAAGGATCAAGGTATATACTGGAAATAGTTTAAAATCTGTATTTAAGTATCTGCTTAATTTTGGTGTGGTCACACTATTTCTTTTATGCTATTTCCTTTGCTTAGTGTTTGATGTTTCTTTCTTTGGCCTTTTGTTTATATTTCCAAATGGACCCTTTCTTACCAGACAAAGGAAATACCTAAAAATATGTCTCTAAAATAAAATAAAGTAGGAAAAGGCAGTTACAGCTCTCATTCTCCTGGTTTGTTTTGCTCTTTGCAGTCTCAGCAAAGTTTATAGCTAAGATGGTCAGTGTCATTTTCATCCTTCTGAAAATGATGAAGCATATTAGATTATGCTTATACATGAAAGCAGCCTACCAGATACTGCTGCCTAGAAATGTTGTCATTTCACCTGTCCACTGATGTGCATTTCTCCCTACATCTGGAAGCAGACTTTTAGCTTGAGTCCCATTTTGGTCCTCCTAGTGCAGGACCCTGTACCTCAAAAATCACTTTCCTCAGGGCAGGAAATGAACTGTTTATGCTTCCAGGCCTCAGGTAGTTCTCATCAGGTTTGCAAAGCAAGTTCTTGTTTTTATTTGTTTTGTTTTTCTGTGCCCCAGATATCTTAGTTGTGTCAACCTCAGCCAGGCCTGCTGTGATTATTTGTTGACGATGATCAAAATCTAAACCAAATTAGGAAGTCTTATGTGACAGTATATTGTTACAGCAAGTGGCTACATCAAGCATCAGGAAATGCTGCATTATTGTCCTGTGGAAGAATGTGGGTTTGCTGCTGCAGAGAGCGGAAAATGTGTCCAGCTTTTTGTAATACTCTTTAACATAGTTGGCTGACATGGGTGTTGATAGAAGCTGATACACCTAGTAATGTCAGAGATAGTAACAGTGCTGATACTATTACACTTTTGTTTTGAAAGGGAGGCTTTGTGGAATCTTTTGTAATGAAAGTAATTAGATCGTTAATGGTTTTGTGCCTCCAATGAAGAGCCTAGAAATATGTCAGTTACGGGGATCTACAGATCTTACCACTAAATCTGTGAAAATTCACTGTAAGTTAGAAGAGAGATGCAAATAATGAAAACTTAATATTTTGATAATCTAATATACTTGGTATTTTTGAAGCATCTGTGCAACCTGTATCTACAATGGAAATGAACATCGTTGTTAAAAATCCAGAGATTGTCTTTGTGGCTGATTTAACCAGAAGTGATGCTCCTGCGTTGGTGGCTACAGCACAGTGTGAGGTCTTCATTAAAAAAAGCCCTGAAAGGTACAACATGACAGCTGCTGTTAAAGAGATACAAATCAAAGCATGCCCATTTCTTCCAGAACAAAGGAAAGGGAGCATTACCACGGTGAGTTTGCAAACATCCAGTGTGTATTTAAAAGGCTCTGTGTAACTTATACTACCGAAATGCAAGCTTTTTCTGAAGCTTTCATAATTAAAATCCATACTACAAATACAAGAGCAAAATTTTGTGGCTAACGTTTCGTTGATTTTATTCTGTTTTGTTGGATATGCTTAAAGCATCATTTTTATCTGTGGCTTTGGGGTTTGCTTTGTATGACAAGTTAAAATGAAAAGTCAAAAGGAGTAACATGTTGTTTTTCTTTCATATCCTGTGTAAGCCAAATAAATAGAATTTTATAAGTGTAAACTATTTTGAAGGCAGTACAGTAAATTTGGAATACATTCAGTCTGAAACTTTGCATTAAGTAGCTACATAAGTGCATAACAGGGTCACAGACAGATTGCAAAGTACAAACTATGAAATAGTTTACTTTTGGTATGCTGTTTGTAAGTTCCTTTGTGTTAAGGTCCATAGATCTGTTGTATTAGAACTGTCTGTTCCAGTTTCAGCAACAGAATCAGGTACTGATGGTAAGATTTTACATTGCCTAAACTTTTGGAAAACATCAAGTTGGATGAATTCATCCTCTTGAATCATCAAAATTGGAAGAGACGTTCAAGATCATCTAGTCCAACTGTCAACCTAGCACCACCATAATCACCCCTAAACCATATCCCTAAGTGCCACATCCAGATGCCAAACAGATTTCCTCAGTTGTATGGGAAACTAGCATCTGGATTTCGAATACCACAAGTTGTGAGGTTCTTTCTGTACATTTCTCACATGCATGTTGGTCTAAAGAGGAATATGTTATTTTTTGGTCCTGGCTGTAACACAGAATAAGAAAAAAAACTTAATTTGAACAGCAGAGTATAAAATAATGTTATGGACAAGAAATTCTGTTGGATCAAACTCACTTGGGAAAAGTGTGGCAAAACTGCTTTAGAGTGTTTCTACACCTCCAGCATCTGATTCAGATATAGGCAGAGCCATCAGGAAAGATTGCAAGATCACTATAGTTTGAAATTAAAGTTCTGAAAAGACTTACCTTCTCAGGTAGGGATTGGAGAGCAAGTTTCCCTGTCAGTACAGTCTTAACTACATGAGTACTCTACTGATCACATAGGACTACGATTATTTTTTTTATAGTGTATTTTATATTTGGTAAACTTTGACAAGTGAAAGCATGCAGAGGCTGATTGCAAAAGAAAGCTAGAGCTAAGTGATTGTGATTCAAACAGCTGTACTGTTAATTCAGGAATACTGTAACTCTGTTGTTGCTGTGTTGCCTTTAACTGAAAAATCTGATTCTCCACAAAAGTCAGAGGTGTGATGGTGCAGTGTGTTTGAAGACATCTGCATACTTCACCTAAAGAGTGGAGTTACTGAAGTGTGGTGCATTTTACTGTAGCTGACATGTGAAACTTTAATGATTGAGAATGGGTGAGGTGATGCATCTGATACTTTTTTCTTTATGTTAAACACGTTATTAATGTTATGATTGCTCTTAATTTTGAAGAACCAAATAATGGTAACTTTTCCTTTCAGCATTTTTGATGTGTATATA